AGGTTCTGCAGGTCAGTGAGGTTCTGCAGGTCAGTGAGGTTCTGTAGGGCTATGCCAGCAGTTTTGCTGCATATCCTGACAGTGGTGTAGTCGACCTTCTTGTAGTGGGTATACTGCGGTGAAGTTAGTTTTACGTTGTAAGTTGGACACCGTTGAAGCCACGCAGCACGAATGTCCAACATAAAACTAACTTTACCGCGGTCGGTTCTTGTACTGAGCTTAGAAACCAAAGTACACTGGTTAGTACAATGTAACTGTCATATAATTTAGATTTTTAAGCATATTGAACATTTCCAAATTTCTCTGATGCTTATATTTCCAACAAATGAAGAACAAACTTTGTACAACAGTTGGCTTTGTATTAAAAACATGTTATAGAATTTATTAAACTGTATCAATGCAAAACATGTTCAAGTATTAAGTAGTAAGTACAGTATTATACAATAATTGGCTGGATAAGCAAATGTAATAAACAAGTGCTGCATACAGATAAACTGTTACGGAAGCATTTAACTGCCGTTTAACATATCAATGACACGTGCCCAATGATATGTCATGTATCACTGGGCACTTTTAAGTTGGTATACTGAAATTCTTAAGCTTTTCTAATACGTATACTCCGTATACCCGTGTATCACGTAGACTACTACTGGTTGGGTTGAAAAACCATAGAAGCTGAGGACTATTGTCTCCTGTTGCAAATATTCTAAGAGATGCTGTTTCACCTCTACCCATAGATCTCTCTTTAGATAGAAAACTGCCAGCTTCCCCAGACGACGTAGAACATTCAGTCTATTGTGTTGTTCAGCAGATTGTGCTGCCACACATAATTTCTTCTCAGCTGCACAGTGAACAAACCTCGTCTCATTCACTGGTTTGACTGGCTACAAATAAACCACGAATAGTAAAAAAACAACTTGCCTGATCCTGTCGTCCTCACCTTTGGTGGTTTAGATGAAACTATAAGCCAAATTAAACGCCTTCTGTTTATGCACAAATCCCCAAATATAAACAGATACGTGCTCCTCTAAGAAAGTGCCACAAGTGTGTCTGTACAAAAGCTTCATTCTTTCAGGGGACCAGGAATAACAAGAGCACATGGGCAGCGGAAATGACAGACTGATTATGTTCCCACAATGATGGCGCTGCCTGAACCACGATCACAAACAGCCTTTTGTTTCCAGCAGGAGACACAGGAACTGACCGAACGTCGTCTCATCTGAGCGAGACGCGGTTAATGTCAGAGGAAAAGGTATTTAGTGTTTAAATGAGGTGAATAAGGGGAAAAGAGATACATATATGGTAAAGTTCAATGACCGTCACTCCAAGCTACATGGAAGTATTAGCAGATGTGCACTGGACAGATGTTTGCTAACAGGCCTTTGATGGGCACGAGCCTTATCTTGAGTGGAAAAGACTATTGTTCCAGAAAAAATAAGCACAATCAGAATGTGCCTGATATTACACCCTGCTGAGACGACAACACTATTAGCAGGTTAGTGCCACATATTGAAAAGCGCTGATCAATAATGCTTAATGAGCCAAAGAACAATTCATAAAAATCAAAGGTGTAGATCAAAGTAATATGTTGCACAAACAATCAGGGCTTTTTTGCAGTCTGATGACTTTTACCTAAAATAAATTACAAATGTTCTTCAACTGAAAATGACCCAGATGATAGAACTGTTTGATGCTGAGCGTGTAAAATAACATAAATTATATTTAAATTTTGTTTTCACAGCTATGAATTGGACGTAATATACTTTACTGCAGGTACGGTGTAGCTAGGAATGTTGTTGAAGCTTATTTTCGACTTGCGTGACCTTTAAACACGACGTATGAGGACTCTGTTGTCATACATGAGATGCACTAAGCTGCTATGTTTTATCATGGTTGAAAGTCACAATACATTTCAAGTGACGTCCTTACTTTCTGTTTTACTTACCTTCTTCTTTTTTTGTTTACTTTGCAGCTGAAAAACTCCAAAGTTTCATTTATGACTTTGTTTTAACCCCAAAATAATTTATTCAAAGTTCAGTCTTTTCCCCCATCACATTGGTTTAATTATGTTCCTGTTTTTAATATTTTACGCTTTATAATGTAGATGTTTTTGTTTAGTTTTTATTTATTTCTATTTATTTTCCATTTTAAATGCTTTCTGTATGATTGTCTGTTGTTGTCTGTTCCTCATCTGTGTTCTTTGTTGAAATCAGGTCTCTCTTGTGAATGAGTCCTCGAGGCTCAATGACACTAACCTCTAGAAATAAAGGTTGAATGAAAAAAATCTAAATTTTTAAAAAGCTAGCTGTACCCTTTTGCTCCATTATCACTGCTCGCTCAGATCTTGTTGATGCTGCTCTTATATTATGAGAACCATAAGGCAGATACCATTAATTTCTGTTGACAATTGCTCCAGTTCCAAATGGGATTCTTACAACCTGCTTATGCACGGTGTTTTTTTATGCTCAGCATCTTTTATGGGTTGGGCGTAAGCACAAGGTCAAAAATCATTTTAGCTGTGAGCTCAAGTAAAATCCAAGAACATTTTCTAAATGAGGCTACTTGACTCCCAGGACTAAAGACATCTGCCTGCATTACTTATTCTGGTTTTTATTATTATTATTATTTTCATCCAACAACCTCTTCTTCATATATGTTGCCAGGTGGAGGCAGAAAAAAGTTCAAGGACATAAAGATAAGTTGGAAGTCCATGCTCTGACTCTGGGAAGGAGTACGAGTAGCTTTAAAAGAACTTCAGAGTATTTTTTTCTTTTTCTCTGTCTTTGCTATAAAAAAATTAACAACATGCCAGTTAACAATATTTAAAGTGTGCATTATTTTGTAATAAAATAAAAATTTAAAAACTGTATTTTTAAAAAAGAAAATAAACACAACACTGGAGGTCATGTTTTAACCTCATCATCCCTTGTTTCCCAGTAAACCATAGCTCAGCAAGCATAGATTCAAAGTGAGTGCAGGACACTGAAGGTCAGCCCTGCTAATTAAAAACAAGCCCTTTGGAGGCAGCAGAGGTCAGAAGAGAAGGTCCAGCCTGCGACACAGAACTTTGCTTACTCTGCTGATGATGTCAGTGATGTGTGATTAGGAACAGCAGCCTTTATTTGTTTATTAAAATAGAGATTAAAATTTAGAATATAATTCATATCCTTCCAGTAGTTCTCCATTCTGCAACAAGCCTTTGGTCAAAACTAAAAGTGCAGAAAAACAGCTGTACTTTTTTAATGCAGCGTTACATAATGACAAGTGCCAGAAAATATTGCAGCAGCTTTCGTGCTGGCAGCAAAGTAATAGACTGCACATCCTTGCAAAACTACAAACAATATAAAACTTTTTAATAATTTTTTTATCATAATTTATCATAATTTACAATCTTGATTTAGATGAGAAAAATTGAACACGTGACACTCCTGTGTCTTCATGTGTCCCTTGGCATGTCAGTGTCTCATTCACCTCTGTTTAGCCTGGACACTGAGCACTAGACTGGATATGAGGGCATTAAGTGCGCTT